AGGGGTTTGCCACGGCAGGGATAAATCCGCGACTCTTAGATTACATTTTCTGTTCTTCGTTTACTGCTTCTATGTGTGACCTTGTAACCACACCTCTCTTCTTCTCCCCTAAAGAAAATTAGAGAAAAGTTTTCTTCCGAGCTAACGCTAGATGGTGGAATAAGATACCATTGAGAAAACTTTCACCTTGAAAACAAAATAATTACATTCTCTTTTAAAAAACCTTTCCAGGGAAGTTTTGAATTCATTTGGGTGTTTATTATTCATTCTGATAGACTATCGGATCTTGTTAGTTTCTCATAAAGCGTCCATTGAACCCTACTTCACAGAAGCAGTTAAGTTACAGGAAAAGAGCAGCCAATTCAAAATAAATCCAGTAAAAGTGCACACAGAATATCTAGTCTGAGGTATCAACGGCCTCTAAACTATAATTCTATTAGAGGGCTAGTCTGTTCTCCGCTGACCTTAAAGAAGAAAACTTGTAACTCATTTTTTATAATGCTGACATTAACATCCACTCTAATTGATGTTCAGATCTCTTCACAAGAAAATCTTGTGTTCATCCGTGCTTTTGCTGTTTTATCGCTGTTTTCTTTTGACTTTTTTGGTTTTCTATTCATTTGTCTGCTTATGTTTGAAAGACATACAGCCATCAATATTTCTTTGGTGCGGTGAGACAATATCAGACTGCAGAAAAACTACGGCTAAAAAAGTACGATGCAGTACAAAAGAATTCAAATAATCAAGCTAAATCACTTTTGTTATAACTCAACGTCGATAAAACATATTATTATTTTCCTTTCCGTACGATGATTTTACATGGAATGAGATTATTTTTTTCCTTTAAGTCAGGTAGAAAGTAATTTAGTCGATTGAGTCGGACTGCATAATTAATTTTGTACAAGTGATTGCATAGCGCCAGCAACGACCTTTTAATAGGGAGTGACACGCCAGTTGTAGAGGTAATCTAACTACGGCATAACCAATGAGAGCACAATATTTTGACAGGTAAACAACAGACATCATTTCTCAGCCAATCACAACGCCTTAATCAAGTCACATGGTACAAAATTTAGAACAACAGAAGAAAAACAATAGGTGCGCTAAAAATAACATCAGGCAATCAGACTCGCAGTAGGGCGCGTGACTGATGTCTGTAGTGATAAATATGTGACTGTCCCAAAACAATAGTCATCAAACAAAATCCTATTCTTTTTTTTTTCTATAAGATATCGTGCATCAGAAAGTGATTTCATTCGCTCATTTCACAGTGAACCGAGCAAGCAAGCAAGCATGATGGAAAATGGTGAAAGGTCCCTTAGCTATGCAAAGAAAGGAGGAAAGAAGAATGCAAAGAGCAAACTGAAAGGCACTATTTTGATTGAACCGTTACCTAAGAAAGAA